GGGGACAGGCCACGAAAAGGGCATCCCCGGCCCGTGGCCTTGCCCGCCCCTCGGGCTCTCCCTGGCCAGTGGTCAGCTCTCTGCTCCCCCGCTGTGGGCAGTGCTCTGACGCTCGGCCCCGGAGGGTTGAGGAGCCGTGGCCAGCGGAGGCCAGGGTCAGGCTCGCCCGGCTCCCGCGAAGCTGCTGTAGTTTCTCCTGGGGACAGGAGGCCTGGGTGCGAGTCACGCGGAGCTCTCTTCTCTCGCAGGACTGGGGGGGAGGGGACCTGGCGCCTGCTGGCCAGCGCCCTGCCACTGGGCTCCACCCAGCACCTGTTTTGGGGACAGGGGATTGAACCCGGGGCGCTTAGCCACCGAGCCACACCCCCAGCCATTTGTTACTTTTTATTTGGAGGCAGGGTCTCCCTCACTTGCTGAGGGTCTTGCTAAGCTGCTGAGGCTGGCCTCGAACTTGCCATCTTCCGGCCTCAGTCTCCCAGGTTGCTGGGATCACAGGCTCCTGCTGCTGCCCCTGGCTTCTGTTTAGCGTTGGAAGAGCCACTAGATGGACCTCCACAGTACGGTGTCACTGGCTTTGTCCCCCTGTTCTCAGTCCCCTCCTGGGTACCTTGTGTCACACCCAGGACTGGAGACCTTGCAGCCAGCCTTGACACACCCCTCTCTGACTGTGTGACTTAAAGAAAATTGCTGAACCTCTCTGAATCTCAGTCCTCAGAGGAGGGGAGTAACGGCAGAGAGCAGCAGCCACTGTGACGTCCCGCCCTGGCCCTCGGGCCTCCTCGCTGTTCCCTGCCTGTCCCAAGCCCTGGTTCTGTCTGAGGGGATGGGCCATGGGGTGACTCTCCTCGGAGCAGCCTCCACCACCCTCGGGTGGGACGTGGGCGGGCAGCAGTGGGCTGTGGCCAGAGGCCCTGGTGGATCCTGCACAGGAAAAACAACAAGGTACTGTGAAAGCAGTGGGAGGGGTCGCTGTGGGGTCGGGGTTCCGGAAGGTTCCGCGGATGGCTCAGAAGATGGAGGGGGCCAGGCTGGTGAAGGGGGAGAGAGGGGCATCTGAGCAGGCAGCTCGGGCAAAGGTCCTGAGGTGGGAAGAGCTTGGGGGTCAGCATCGGGCGGCAGCGTGGGCCTGAGGAAGGGCCAGGGCCGGCACAGGGGCTCTGGGTGGCTCTGGGTGCGGGTGACCAGAGGGGGTGCCCTGAAGACCAGAAAGCTGCCCCCGGGTGCCTCCTGAGACCACTGTCCCATGGACGTGTCCCCACACCTTGGGAGGGAGCAAGGCAGGAGCAGCGCAGGACGCAGGCCTGGGGCCAGGAGGGGCCGGCTGGGCTGCAGGGCCAAGGCCGGGAGGGTGGGCCCCCGTGTACTCTGGGCAGCAGCCCCCGATGGGCAGGTGGGAGGCAGGTCTGGCCCCAGGGTGTGGAGGACCCGAGTGACCGTGCGCGTGGTCAGTGAGCCGGCTGAAGGGCTGGCCCCGAAGGGAGCCGTCGATCCTTCCCACCTCAGAGGTCCCCAGAGGGCCAGTCCCTGGCGGTGAGGTCGCCACGGGCACAGGGCCCTGCTGACTGGACCGGCCCCGCCTCGGTCCCCACGGGCATGAGCACAGCCCGTCCTCACACCAGCTCCGCATTCTGCAGAGGAAGAAACGGAGGCTCACAGTGGCACCCCACCTGGCCTCCCCCCGGGTGGAGCACTCATCCCAGAGCAGGACTGTGGCTGGCCAGACCCTGCGGCTCGTACCCGCGGGGGCCCTCCCGGCGTTTCCAGAATTTCTTGGGGTCCTGCGCCCCGCCTGCTGCTGTCCCGGCCTGTGGAGCTGCAAGCAGGCAGCTTGGCCTCCGTACCTGAGCTGCCCAAGGAGGCCGGCCTGGCTTGGTGCTGACGGGGACGGCGGGTGGACGGCGGTTGGTAGAGGAGGAAGGACGAGGGAGCATCGCCGTGGAGTCTCCTGACCACGTGGACGACCCCGGGGCAGACACGTCTGAAGGGCAGGCACTTTACCAGGCTTGGGCCAGCCAGGCTGGGTCCCCGGGACTCCCAGGCCACGTGGGCCACGAGACTGCCCTTGTCCCCAGCCCCTCGCCCAGGGCCTGCAGGAGGACCCGGCCCGCCTCTCCTGGCCTGGCGTCCCCACGCTCCGGGGCTGTGTGGCTGGTATTTTAGAGCAGTCACTGGGAGCCCCGGGGACAGGCGTGGGCAGAGGCCGAGCTGACCCTGGACAGCCAGGCTCCGTGGCAGGCACCTGCCAGCTCCTTCCTCCCCGGAAGCCCCGCCCCCTGGGTGTGGCCATCGCAAGCGCAGGGTGGCGCGGGTGGCCCTGGCGTCCCAGTGCTGCAGGCTGCAGGAGACAGGGCCAGCTCCGGGCTGAACCCTCGTGTCCTGGGCGCTGTGGAGGCAGGGTGGCCCTCCACGGCGGTGCTGGCCTCCGACCCCCGGGAGGCGGGAGGGATCGAGACCGGCAGGGTCACACGGCCTGCTCTGCACAGCTAGAGTGCCCTGGTCACAGGGCAGCCTGACCCCTGGGGAGGGTCCTGCTGTGCCGTCCAGGGCTGGGACTCAGGGGCCCGGGACAGCTCAGCTCCGTGCTTCACCAGGCACCGGGGACAGTGGGGGGGGGGCTGACCTCGCCCAGCACTGCCCCCGCCTGGGCCCGCTGCACAGGGCCACTCTGCCCAGGCTGCCCTTTCCTGGCCACCCTGGGGCCACTCCACGTCCAGCTACATTTACTGACCGCTCTGGTGCCCTCCCCCAGCCACTTCTGGTGACATGGCACGGGGTGACGATGGCATTCACAGGCGGGTGCCACAGGGGTCAAGCTGAGCTAGGCCACAGTCTGGGCATTAAGCACAGTGACAGTGTCATGCCACCAGCCCCACGGCCCCCTCCACAGCTGCTCGTCTCCAAAAAACCACCACCTGGGCCCTGTCGGCGCCCTGGCCCGGCTCCTAGCGCTCTCCGCCCCACAGCAGGCCCCAGGACGAGGACGGGGACGGGGACGAGGCCACTCTGCTCACACGGGTCTCGAGGTTCCTCCCCGTGGCCGGAGGCAGAGTCCCTCCTCCCCGGGCCGAGTGGCGTTGGGCTGTGGGTGGACCCGGCTCGCTCCTCCTTCCTGGGGGTGGACACGCGCCTTCGGGCTCCTGTGACCGACACTGTCACCTGTGGGTGGCCCTTTGGCTCCTGCTTTCAGTCCTTTTGGTGACTGCCTGGCGCAGGGACTGCTGGTCCCCACGGTGAACCGCCGCTGTCCCCCACGGTGGCCCGGCCATGGCACACCCTGCTCCTGACACATTCTCCACCCACAGTCCCCGAGACCCCCCCGGCGGTCCCCGGCTCCTCCCCGCTTCCCCCTTCTCTCCTGGTGGGCGAATGCCAGAGGCCACCTGGGGCCTCGGGTCCCCTCACCAGCTCAGAGGGCTCCTCCCACGGAGGGCAGTGCCCAGCCCGCAGCCCCCCAGCCGGGCAGTGGCTGCCTTCCCGCCCCCCAGCCCCTCCCTTGGCGAGGGTCCGACCCCTGGGGCCTGGGCAGGTGTGAGCAGAGGCCTCGGCTCTGGCCCACGGTGGCCCCGCCCGGCTGTCTCCTGTGAGTTAGGTGCCCACCCTCATCCCTCGAGGGACAGCTGTTGACACGCAGCGTGGACAGTGGAGGTGTCCGGGACACAGCTGTCCCCATGCGCGTGCCAAGCCTCCGGGTCCTCACCTGACAACGGGCAGTGACCGTGACATGTGCCCGTCTCTGGATGAACACGGCCACGGGCCGCCTCTGCTCGACCCTTGACTGCACGTCCCCCCTCGGGGACGGCACTGGGGACCTCAGTGTGCACGCTCAGCAGGCCGCGCCCGGGGCAGCTCGTCCCAACCCGCAGGCCCTGTGCTGCCCACTGGGGTGCACAGCCCCATCGCCCCCCGAGAGAGTGGCCAGTCGGGCTGGCCTGGGCTCTATGGCCCTGGCTGGGCGAGGGACCAAGAGCACCATCCTCTGGGGGTGCAAGTGCCAGGAGAGGTGACCGCAGCACCTGGCCTCTGGCCATCCCCTGGGTGGCCCTGGGGCACTGCTGGGGCCAGGTGTTGGGGCCATGACGGAGCCCAGCCGTGGCTCCTCACAGCAAGTCACGGTGCCCCTCTGAGAGTCACTGTTACGCAAGACGGTGGCGGGGTGGGGGTGGCAGCGGCAGGTTTCAAGGACAAAGAAGGACAGAGTCCCTGCCTGAGGGGACATGCAGCTTCCAGTGGGAGGGGCCTCGTGGGATTTGAGAACAAAGTGAGTTCCTTTCCTCCTCCATCCACACACACACACGCACGACGCACGCACACAGACGTGTGCACACACACACACACACACACACACTCTGTCCTGCCTCTCCGCCATACAGACTCACACACGGACACAGACACATGCACACACACACATACAGACGCACACACAGGACACGCGCACACACACGCACACACACACACACACACACACACACACACTCACTCTGTCCTGCCTCTCCGCCATACAGACTCACACACGGACACAGACACATGCACACACACACATACAGACGCACACACAGGACACACGCACACACAGACACAGACACGCGCACACACATGCACACAGGACCCCCCCACACACACACAGACACATGCACACGCAGCCTCCAGGGACACACGGAGCCCGGGTGACGTGTGTGGCACGAGAGCCCCGAGCTCCAGCGTGGACGGCAGAGGCCTCCTCTCCGCCCACACAGCTCAGCCCGCTGCTCGGAACACAGTGTGACGTCTCGCACACGGTGTGACATCCCATGTCTCTGCTGACACGGACTGGACGGGGGCGCATGTGCCCAGAAAGGCCGCGAGGTCT